GCATACCTTTACCAAAGACACTAAAACAGCTACTTGTTGCTCGACTCCCAGTTCTACATTTGTACAAGAGAGCTCGGGATGTGACAGTTCATTTTCTGCCCCAGTAAGCCCAACTGAGATATAAGCAAGCATAGGAAATATGCTATCTATATCAACTTCCAGTAGAACAGGCAAAGCATATGTGCTCACATTTGAACGAAGCTTTGAAACACCAGAAGCAAGTCCAAACAGAAAGGGAGGCAAACAATACCCTCTATAAACCGCATAACCTTCCTCAATCCCATTACAGTTCCAACATTCATCACGCAAACACTCAAGGAAACATTTCAAGAATGTTGTAGCAGCACAGCACACATCATCATCAATGTAAGCTTGTACAGTTTCAAGCAGCAGATCAGGACTCATATCCAGTATAGTTTTTGCACCCAGCCTCTTGGTCAACAAAGCTAATGGAACATATCTCCCCTTACAGCCTGGGCCTAGACGGAGAATATCTGATGCAATTTTTTGCAAGAAAGATTTTATTCTTTCACTTCCCTCTCCCCAATGAAGAGATGACTGAATATCTAAGAACAGATCAAAAATCAGATGAACTTGTTTCACTGTTTGACTTAAAGGATCTTCCAAGCTATTCCATATGATCTTCAGTATCCGTGTCCCCATTTCTACTGGTATGGGTTCATAAGTATTCGAGATGACAGTAAGATTACTTAGCATTGAAGTCTTCATCTGTTGCAAACAAATTTGCAACACTGTCAATGCATGAAAATTAAAATGACTATCGATAGGGTTCTCACAATAATTACACAACTCAGGCAAAATCCCATCATACAAAATAGTCTTAACAGAGCCACAACAATTTCCATTTTCCTCATTAACATTCAAACCACCACTCGATACAACAAATTGGGAATTGAGTACAGCCCTCGAAACAGCAGTAAGAACCCCCCTAATCAAGCACAACCGGCTCAAAACAGAAAAACCATTTATCTCAAAACACAAATCCCCTTTAAATGGAACCTTCAAAATCAAATCTCTCAACTCACTTTCAAAACAATTAGTAGCGCTGGAACTACAAGTAATACCATTAAATATAGCTTTAACAATAACCAAACCAAGCTCTTCACTAGTAAGACAAACTTGCAAAGCAGCACACAATGCCACTCCAGCCGCTACAAAGCAATCCCTAGTGAAAGCCATCGACTTCAACACACTAACCAAAACCCCCAAAACCCTCTCCATAAACTCCACCTCCTCAAAACACTTAAACGTCGCCGGAAACTGCTGGATCAAATAATACAAGCAAGACAAACTCTCTTGACATTGCTCCATAACAACCGGAGATGGCCTACCACCCAAATCCTCAATCTCCGAAACAACACTATCTAATCCCAAAACAATATCCCAGCCAATCAAAACTGCACAATCACCAACAGCACTAATCAAAAACCCTAATTTTGGCATCCCCATAATTGATAAAGCAGCACGTGATAAACAAAACCTCTTTCTATCACTCCATTTCTTGTACTCCTCACATAAATCCCTAAAACACTCAACAATCAAAACCTGACGATCCTTATTACTCACTTTTGATAAACCAGAAATCAAAGTTCGATGTAAAGGCACTGAATTTTCCAGAAATAAAACTTCCACGTAAAAACGGCATGCCGTTTGAAGAATCGGAGTGTCGTTTTCGGTGTGTATTAGAGATAGGAGGTTGGTGAAGGAGGAAGCCAAGTTTTTGGAGTGGTTTACTTGAGAGTAAATTGAATTGAGAGAAATTAGGGTTTTGAGCTGGGTGAAGAAAAGGGAGAAGTTAGGGTTTAAGGGAAGGAGAGATTGAGAAAGCAAGGTGTCTATGAAGGAAGACGGGAATATCACAGCACTGTATGTGTAGCGATGGCGGTGCTGTAATGCACGCCATTTCGCTGACATGTTTGAGAAGTTGAACTGGATTTTGGAGGCGGCTATGGTTGCATTTGTGTGAGGAGAGAGCGACGGGGTTGGAATACCAGAGGAGGGTTTTAGCCTTAGGGCAAAGCTGGGCGTGTATTTTCTTTTCTTTTCTTTCTTAATATTTTAAATTTGAATTAATTTATATTTGAATCGAAATTAAATTTTTTTCTCAAATAATTAATTAATTAAGAAAAAAACTCATCCCCGCTAAAATAAATTGAGTGTGTTTGATAATAAAATAAGTGTATTTTTATTAAAGTATTTTTTAATTAAAAATATATTAAAATATGTTTTTATTTTTTATATAAATATATTAAAATTATTGAAAAACATATAAAAATATCAATTTAAAATTTTTAAAACAAAAAAAATATTTTAAAAAATTAAATCACAAAAGCAATCATTAGCTTGTTATGAGTTTTTCCTATGCCAAAAAAGAAATCTCATTATTAAGTTAATATTTTATTTGACAAAATGGAATCCAATTTTATTGTTTAAAATAAATTGAGATTTAGAAACAAAGTTGGATAATGAAACAAAAAGAAAAAACAACTCTTTTTTTTTAGTTTTTTCATACATAAGGTATGGAATTAAAAATTTTGGTCCATAAAGTTTTTTTGCTTCACATTTTGTAATCCTTTGAGTTTTAAAATTTTATATTTTGATTCAAAATTTTAATTTATTTATATTACAATCCTTGATTTTGAGAAAGAAAATAGAATCATTAGAAAAAAAATTATAAATTGTCCACATTTTAACAACTAAAAACAATTAATAACAAAAGATTCATTAAAGTATTTTTGACCCATCATCTTGTTGAAAATAATAGTAGAGGTTCATAAACTTTCTTTGATTTTGAAATTATTTTCATTTTATATTTATTAATTAAAGTTTGTTTTTAGGTTAGATATTAATTTATAGAGGTTTATAATATGTTATTTAGAAGTTTTTAAGTGAAAAAAATAATAATACATTTTTTATGTTTAAAAAACCAGAACTTTTCGACCACAAACTAATAAACAATACATGTTATGTGTTTTTTAACAAAAGAAATGGAAGGACAATATACCATTCATCTATTTTTTTAAAAAAAAAATGATCTAGCTTTAAAAATTGATGTGCATTTCTTTCTTTTTAATAAGTAGAATGTGTTGGCCACCTAATCTAGGTATTTATCATATTTTTGACATTTATATAAGTTTTTTAATGTTATACTCAATAATTTATTAAAAGTAATAATTAAAAATTGTTAAGTTTTTATTTTGTTTTTGAATAAATTTATTACATTCATTTTATAACATTTTTATAACATTAGGAAACACTTTTTTTTTATAACTTTTCATGATTTATTTTCTTAAAACTTGTTATGTAATTTTCTATGCATATCTATTTTTATTATAATATGATCATAAAGTAAAATTTATTAAATTTAATTAAATTCATGTCCAATGAGTTTACCGAGATAATTACACTAACCCTCTTATAATTTGATTGATTTTTTGCTTTGTTTTTGTGTTTTGAAAAATAACTCTACTTTAATAATTTTATAATACTTTATAAGTTTATTAATATTTTTAATTTAATAACTAAAAAGCTATCAAATATTGAATATTATAACTTTATCATTATATTAAAAACTCTCCTGAAGAGAATTTTTATCAAACACTTGGTGGACATTTTAAGAGCTCCTTCTCTGTCCTCGCATGTCGCTTTTATTCAGCTTTCTTGCGTGCCTTCTCTCATTCACTCCCATGGAAGTCTTTCCCT